AGGTGGCGACACATGCTGTCCAGTCACTATTCGGATAAAGTGGGTGGTTGTAATTGTACCCATGTAGAGTTCGCATTCTCCTCTATTATTTTTTCTAACTACTATACATGAATTGGTGTATTTAGCCCATAATTTTGCGCTGAATGAAACCAATATCAAAGTACCATTTTCTAAAGGTCCCCCGGCATCCTTCTTACAAAGTTTCATCATTGTTGCCTCAACGGTTTTTTTTCTATCTTAAGATTTTCGATTTCTTCACCAAATGAATTCTTATCACGTTGCAATTATTAAACCAAAAAACATTATCAAATACTAAACGTAAAGATCAGTTCGTGGTGGTTAGAATAACGTATATCAGGTTATCGCCCGATCATTGTTTGTAAAAATAAAAGGCCCAATATATGCAATAAACAATATCACGTGACATTTGTTGGTCTAGTCGAACAGTCATTAAACATACGACGTTCAAACGACCAACAAAACAGTTGAACTTGAATCAAATTTTCATGAAAATTACACAAGTTTTAGGGTCGCAGGATACTAAATTCCGACAAAAAAATTGCGTACAGATTTTGATTAGTTCGATAAATACGTAAATATCTCGAGAACTGTTTGAAGAAATTCAAAATCTGTCCGAACCGAATATAGCCTTTCAGACAGCTCTTACGAATTTCGAACCAGCGGCTCGACCTCTAACCCCTTGTGACATTTTATTATTACTTCAAAATGTATTCTATACAAATTCTAATTCTAAAGAATAGAATTTGACTCACGCCAAATTCTATTCTTTCAGTCGTGTAGATGTTGGGAAGAAGATTTCGAAAAGAGAAATTTGGTCAAAATTTGGCTAACACCCAAATAATTTGAATTCAAAATTTTCGATAATGTGTGCCGGGTAAAGGTCAAACGGGATGATGATAGAATATAGGCTATTCCAAACAGAAATTATAATCTGTAACATAATTTTGACTATCCAAAAAAGCATTTTTTATCTCTTTTATACGCGCAAGTATTAAAAATGATGCAGAAATTCATCAAATTAACGAAACTTTATTGGAATTAAAATTATATTCGATATATTTATTTGCTAAATTCGAACGAATTTAGGTCATGCACATGTTAAATACACGTCTGAGTTTAAAAGTGTGTCAGAGAGACTGCATAATTTACATTTCCAATTATTTATTTCTTCCCTGTTGTTTTATTATATATTTTATTATAAAAACATTATTTATGATTAAACTCGATTAAAATTCCTGAAAGGAAGGCAAAACTATATCATTTGTAAGCATTAATATTTATTGCTTTACATGAAATCACGAACTGGCGAAGCTTGCAGATTCGGAAAGATTCGCATTCTGGAGGATTTGAGGTCGTCACCACGATTTTCTGGAGGCTTTAGAAGCCTCGGAGGAATATTATTACTGCGGCCCCAAATTATTTTTTAATATACGTAAAGCGTGAGAATTTGATAAATCTAACGTTATCCGGGCAATGCTAACTTTATCTGTCTTCACTTCCGGATGAATTTATCTGTTTAACTTGTAATGGAAATATTGCAAATTATAATGCAAAAGAAAACACTAAATTTTCTCGCTTTATCTAAAATTGAGTTATTTATCCATTCAATTTTACATAAAGCCTTAATTTAAACTTACTTAGAATATCTTCATCCTTGAAATAACACACGAAAAATAATACAGTAAAACCTGTGTAAAGCAGAACCTGAATAAAACGGAAACCTGTCTATGTGGAAAAATTTTCGAAACGAATCGCTTTTTCGTGTTAAAAAGAAACCTCTTGTTTCTTCTAATTCTATGTCACGACTTGGTGCATTTATCGACACTTGCCAAGTCGTGACATAGAAAAAGACACGGTTTCGACAAAAAAATAAAAAGAAACCTGTTAAAAACGGAAACTTATATATTTGTAACACGGAAATAAATATTTCACGTCATTAGATATATGACGAATTGCATTGTGACGTAGACAAGTTTGTTCCTCATCCAAATGTCACACAATTAACGATGTTTGTGAGTAAATAAATAGAGTTGTGGATCATGAACAAATGGTGGAATTCAACCACTTACGAAGGGGAAACACGAGAAATGAATAAGTTCACTTTTGTGTTCATCATTATCGGTGAGTTTCATTGTTTTATGTTATTTTATATATTATTACGAAACGGTTCCATTGCTATCGTATAATAATTTATACAGTAGGCTTGCATATATTATGTAAAAGTAGGACAATGTTTGTCAAAGGATGATTAGGCTGAAAACTACAATTTATGGTGGCAAGTTTATTATTAAAATACGAAACCATTTCTTTTGCTTATAAGTGATATTAGTGTAAAATTTACTTCTTTTAATTATTATAAATGGATATTTTTATCTAAGAGGGCGGGAAGAAGTCAAATCGTAGTAAAAGAAGATTAATACAGTATATTGAGTCCATTATTTTCTTAAATATTTCTGTTTACAATAATTGAAATATCTAGTTATTTACAAGGTAATTAATGTATAAATGTATTTCTTTCAGTACTTGCTCTGTCGGGAAGTGGCGAAGGAAACAGAAATGTCCAAGATCGCAGTTCAACTTATAATCTACTAAAGTTAAATAAAAGAAGTGGTAGAATTCTTAATGAAATTTTAGGTCCTATAATTGGTAATCCTACTACTACTAAAAAACCTACTGTTAAACCGACCACTACACCTGTTGCGACGACTAAAGAACCTACCACTATGCCTGCTGTTACACCTACCGAAGAGCCTACCACAACACCTACTGTTACACCTACCGAAGAGCCTACCACCACACCTACTGTTTCACCTACCGATGAGCCTACCACAATACCTACTGTTACACCTACCGAAGAACCTACCACCACACCTACTGTTACACCTACCGAAGAGCCTACCACCACACCTACTGTTACATCTACCGAAGAACCTACCACCACACCTGCTGTATCTGCCAATGAAACTATCACTATATCCGCTGCTATACCGACTGATAAACCTACCACTATTCCTACTATTATACTCACCACTAAGCCTGCTATGTTACCTACCAGAAAACCAACCACTATTTCTACTGTTATACCTACCACTAAGCCTGCTATGTTACCTACTAGAAAACCAACCACTATTTCTACTGTTATACCTACCACTAAGCCTGCTATGATACCAACCAGAAAACCTGGTCATATACCATTCCCTTTACCTGGTCCTATTGCTGATGTCAAACCTTTTAACGTAGTTCGTCCTGTTCCTATACCTGGACCCAAACGCCGACCTGCAGCTGCAGCTGGCTTTAAACGCCGTCCCATACCTGGTACCAAATTTCGTCCTGCTTCTCGTCCTATTCGTGGAACTCTTCCTCGTCCTGTCCCTGGGGTTAAGTCTTGTATCATACCAGTCCCTATACGTTTTCCTGGTTCGTTTCCTCGACAAGGAAGAGAATAAACAAAGAGAATGTAAGAAAATTATTACAAAAATGTGTCGATAATTCAAAAAACGAGAATAAATAAAGATCAGTACCATAAAAAGATAAATAAACTCTGGATTTATATCAACTTGATATTTGTTCCGGTCAAGACCACTGATCGACTTCCTGTCCAGATCGAAAGTCCATCAGTGTATTCGGCCCTAAGCTTTTCGTTTAGTCGCGTCTTGTCCCTGTACATCACACTTCTCCTGATAACAATAGAGTCATGCCGGTCATTTATTATCTATCAAAATTTTTTCTCCAGAACGGGTTTCTGCAGGAAATTATGATATAATGCCTCCAATCTAAAAATTCGTATGTATTTAGGCCCTTAGCTTCATATCTGGTCTCGATTTTCATCTAACTCCACTCTCGACATTAATGAAGGGCAGACACACAGTGAAAATTTATAGATCTACAATTTCAAAATTACAGTCCAATTAACAAATTACACTAATAAAGTATTTTATTGGTCGATCCGAGAATGTAACAGAGGCATTTTGTAGCATTTTGCCCCTTTGTTGTAGGAAGAATAATACAAGTAAAATATACAGTAGTATTAAATGTATTTTAATTCTCGAATATCTTTGGACATTAATTTTACTTTCCCGACTGTTATGATAAAATATTGTCATCGTGTCACTTTCCAGCCTCTGGGATTCTCGAAATTCGATTTCGGATATATCAAAAAAACTGACACCTGGGATATGTGGGTGTTAATGTCTATTTTGTTTAATATCTCAGCATAAGTTAAAGATGGAGAAACGAAATTTGGAACCGTAATTTGTATATAGGAGGCATTGGTACCATGAAATTTTAGTGGGTAAAGTCGAAGGGATGAAGAGAAAAATGGGGATTGTGTTCCCCATTTACCGTTCTAGATAATAGATCGGATAATCGCGTATATCTTAAGCGGGGCCGAATTTAATGAAGATTTTACTCGTTATTAGCGTTTACAACTTTTATAAAAATCTTATTTCTATCCTGAAAATTAAGTCTCTTAATTACATAATTATGTTTTAATAATATAAAAGTTATGTTTTATTACAATTTCGCAACAGATGGCGCCATAGACAATGTGTCTTGTATGAGATTTTAAAAGAATTTTAATATTTTAATACAGTATTAATTATAAAAAGAAATCATAGTATATTTTATAAATTAGAAGGAAAATTACCTACAGAAATTAAAAGGAAAAGAAAGAAAAAAGTTTACTTTCTTTCCAACGAGTTTACTTCCTTCATAAGTAGTTCGTCATCCGATGACTACATGTTAGTAAGTATTATATCGTTGTCAGATGACAACACATTCAAATCTCCATTGGAGGAGAAGGGGAGTATAAATAGTATAAAAGAAAAGTTAAAATACAGAGGCAAAAGGGACTCTGTATTTTAACTTTTCTTTCTAGTGTACTCTGAGACACACTAAAAATAGCAGTGGCTCTCCTGTAGCCCATTTTACCTTCCAAAACGTTTTCCACAGCATTTGACCATCTATGTGTATTGCATTTCCTCACTTAGTTGCCAACCATTTTTCTAAAACAGTTAAAAGACATCAAGTAGCCTACAATATATTAACTAGAAGACCTGTTTATTAATGAAACATTAACGATAAATGTATCGAAGCAAAAGTGCAATGAATATTAATCATAAAACATATCGAAGCTCAAAGAAAAAAATTANGATGATGGCAGTCACACGGCCAGTTGAGTTCACTCTTCAAAACTGCACAACGGACAAAATGGTGTTGAGCTATCAGAAATTGAGCCAAGAAGAAGACAGTTTTATAAACGTTTTTTTTATATTCATGTCATGAATTTTATAAACAAAAATTGAATGAAATGGAAAATGAGGCAACGCAACATAAGGTCGATTTGTTAAGTGAGATGCCTTTCGGGAGGACTTTCTAAGTGTCACCTATCAAGGGGTCAATAGGTTCTAAGTCACCTATTTAGGTGTCAGAAACGTGGAAAAACCACGCGACAAGCTCTTGCTCAAACCAAACTCGCGACTAATTTCCTGTTTTCAGAGGTTTTATCCTGGTTCACCGTAAAACTATGCAAATTTTCCTTGTTACATGTCGTATATATTATATTATCATGTAACTTAATTGGCAGAACTTCAACTTCGCGTATTGGATAAAAACAAATCAAATTAGTATAAAATAAAAGATACAGTAGAACCTCGATTATCCGGACTAATTGGGGATGAAGGTAGTCCGGGTAAGGAAAAATCCGGATAATCGAAAATCCGGATAATGGAGGTTCTACTGTATGTGGATTGATGCAGGCACCACTCTTCGAAGTGGAAGACAACCAATTCTGTATGTATTTGTTACAGATGAAGGAATCGGTGAATTGGTATGTCTTCACGAGTAATGAGGCCTTATCCGATAAAACAGTTGACTGAGTAAAATACACCTAAAATTGAAATTATTGTTAGATTATCAAGAGTAAGGAGAGTTGTCGAAAATGCATTTGTCAACCTCTCTTCTGTTTGGCGAGTCTCTTCTACAGTGATTTTCAGCCTTATCAGATTATAAATTCATCCTAACATGTTGTGTTCTTCATAACATATCAGAGAAAGAAAAATAAAATCTTATCTTACAGCTGTTACCATTGTTAAGTTTGGAGAACAACGACATCAACAGTTTATACCCTTGGAAAGCAGTCGTAATTGAAATCCATCAACAGCAGTAGTAGAAGCAATCCGTGATTGTCCTTTTCTGCATTTTTTTTTCTTTTTCGATAGCTGTGCATCAAATGTGCACGGTGATAATGAAATGCTTTCATTAAATATTTTATTATCATCATACACATCTACTATTATTGTTGCTTCTGCCTCAGACTTGCAGCCGGAAGTGGATTGTTGCGTATCATTTAACTATACATAAAAATAGGCTATATTTAATTAATTTTTTCTACTTCAATATATAAAATATATATAACTTATATAATTACATGGTATGACGATAGAGGTGACTTCGTTTTCTTGTACAAATTCAAAAGAAAACTGAGAGATGACCAATGTTCTCACGTTGGATTATATACTTCATTTTCTTCACATCCACTTCGCCTGCTGTCTTCTACTTTTTGTAATGCGAAGAAATGTCGTTAGCAGGTGATAGAATTTTTTTCCTTAGTTCTTCAGCTATATTTAAGATGATATTGTCGTTACCAAATTAAAAGCAATCAACATTTTATATCCAGAAATCTAAAAATGGTAATTNCCTTGAAGGAACTTTTAATTTGCTCCCCGAGCTGTGTTACGTTGAAAATTTGAAGAACGTTGTAAGAATCTTTTGTTATATAATAAACGGGTTAAAGATGGTAAACCTGTCTCAGAAAGTCATTCTGCGCCCACACGACAGAAGGAACCGCTCGGCTGTCAAAAACCTCACCCTAATCGGCTGACCTCACACTTTTATGTAAGAGGATGGCAAAAAAACGCAAATCGTAGTAAAATAAGATAAACGTATTAAGTCCATTGTTTTTTTCTTGTATATTTCTCTTTATAATAATTAAATTAATTAGTAGTTTACGAAATAATTAATGTATAAATGTATTTCTTTCAGTACTTGCTCTGTCGAGAAGTGGAGAAGGTAGAAACAGAAATTTCCAAGATCGTAGTTCAACTTCTGATCTATTAACGTTAAATAAAAGAAGTGGTAGAATTGTTGATGAAATTTTAGGTATTATAATTGGTAATCCTACTACTACTACTACTAAAAAACCTACTGTTAATCCTACCACTGCATCTACTACCATACCGACCGATGAACCTACCACTCAACCTACTGTTACACCTACCTCTACAACTACCTCTGCACCTACCTCTACAACTGTTGTTACACCTACCGAAAATCCTACTATATCCTACTATACTACAACTACTATACCTACCGATGAAACTTCTACTACATCTGTTGCAATACCGACTGATAAACCTACCACAATCCCTACTATTATACCCACCACTAAACCTGGNAAGCGCTGTAATGTCAGCTTCCAAACAGCCAGATTATACTCATTCGCGCATGCGTTTTACAGAGCACCAACCTCGCCCAGTTTAGCCGGTGGAAGCTACTCACGTATAACGCTTCCAATGATTCTATCCAGGACCGGTTCCGGACTGTTAGCCGCCTGCCCGCTAGATATTTGGCCTCTCTCGCCCGATTACGCGAATCACTAATAGATTTATAACTTAACCCAATCGATAAGAACTTACTGGTACGTTTTTACGATAGTTCTGTATAGTTGACGGGAGTTAAAAAGTCCATTAAAATATTTGATATTTTTATTCCACTCTCCCATCTTATATTACTTACGGATTTCGATGTTAAACCAGTGATATTACGATTTCGTATATCCCATCTTTAAGAGGATGTAGACAAAATCTGTACAATTCTTGTACGATGTAGCATCATTTACGACTAAATTTAATGACTGAGAGAGATGCACGAGGTACAGAAAAAACTCTAGAATTTATTTTCCTTAAATTTACCATTTATGTATCCGTTGTCGTAAAAATTTGTCTTTCCACTTTTCCCCCGAGACTACAAATATTCGAGTACAAAGTAACCGGTTTCGACTTATTTCTATTTAAGAAGTAGTTAAATAATTAAGCGATTAGGAAATTTGGGACGTAAATAAAACCCTGACGAAAGAGCCGGAATTTTACTTAAACAAAAGCTTAACCGAACCAATCTCTAGACGAGTGTAGTAGGGACAGATTTCTTCGTAATATCAGACGTAATAAAGACAGGAATTTTTCCAGTTCGACGTATATTATGAAAATTTTTGAGGACACTTGATCCTAAAACGAATTAGTTAGAAAACAAATGACTATTAAGTTTAACATATTGGGATTTTTACAGCTATGGTGAGAAACGTTTAAAATCTACAACAGTCCTGTCGCGTCCTTTGAGATATATTAGTGATGCGGCAAAAGAGGTATTTGACATTGACCGGTATCGGCACCCTGGGGATTTGGCAGTCCGCGTGTATGCACGCACTGCAACCGTCTATGATTCCATCCGTTAGTCACTCGTAGGGAGATATTTGACTAAGTGCATTGTTTTAAGATTTAAAAAGTAAAGAAGATTTTATGTTATTTTTTATGTACGTTTCTTTACAAAGCTATATTTATTGATAATTATAATTTTCCTTAAAAATACAGTAGATCCCCCTATAAAACCGTTTCCTATAGTTATGATTCCTATAAAAATTGTGGCAGTACAGTAGATCCCCCTATAAAACCGTTTCCTATAGTTATGATTCCTATAAAAATTGTGGCAGTATCCGTAAACAACGGTAAAAATAACTCCTATAATACGTAAAACGTCATCGGGCAGCCGAACTACTTTCCCGCCGTCCGTAGCGCCACGCTAAGGACGTTTAGGCGGATAAATTGAGTTTAGTATTGTCTGTTCATATAATTATATATAAATTAGGTACTGTACATATAATTATATATTAATTATATATAAATTAGGTACTGTATATATAATTATATATTAACTTAATTTATTGTAACTTTATTATAATTAAATATATATTTTTCGCCGTCTAGCGTCACGCTACGGCGAGTTAGGCGACCTATCGTCTGTTTAGTACTGTAATTTTATACATTTCTTGTGAAAGAAACATTTCTTATTTAACGGCCATAAAAATTATTTATATTAATGATGTCTCCAAAGGTCAACGAAGTTTTCGCAGAAAAATAATATCAGAAATCGCGGCCGCAATTTGATGCGCTGTTCCGCGACGAAACCAAGCTTTAGCAACGGGCGTAGTCGAACGGTACACACTCGGTAAGCAATCCTACAATTTTTTGTTTATAAC